TTTGGGGAGTGTTCCGAGCTGCCATGGGCCAGCTCGGGTCACAGCTTTATGAGGCTTGGGGCCCAATATAGTTTGTGCTCCTTGCAGGGAGCTCGGGTTCTCAGTAGGGAGCTCGGGCTCTTAATAGGGAGCTCGGACTCTTAATAGGGAGCTCGAACTCCCAGTAGGGAGCTCGGGCTCTTGGTAGGGAGCTCGGGCTCTTGGTGGGGAGCTCGGGCTCCTAGTAGGGCGGTCTGGAGTTCGGGCTCAGTAGCGAACTTGGACTTGCTTTCGGTGTTTGTTTCGGGCGCTCTACTGCCCCAAGTTGCTTGTTTTTGCCACGTGTCGGGTGATTACGAGGTCGGGCCAAATTCCCCTTCATCAGTGTCGAAGAAGAGAGGGAGATGATTGAGTAACGAATTTGTAAGTAGGAAAGTGTGAAATTAAAATTTCAGCTCAGCTCCAATACGGAGAGATCAAAACTTATTTATTATACCTTTCTCCTTGGTGCCATGGCAATGATTTTTAGGATTCTTTTTGATGAATACAGACGAGAAATTCTAGATCTCAAAGCCCGCAGACTATTCTCAAATTTCTACAAATATGCAGCTGGAACAACTGCTGTTAATCCCGCCATTGAAGGAGAAAAAACGCAGCACAACAGCGACAGAGATTTTCTATTTTTCTCCGCTCAATCTACTATGTTATTTGTCTCAAGGTAGAGACGATCAACAGTAGCTTCAATCTGAAACTCAGATCTCCCAACCTACAATGATGGGCTTAAAAATAGGGAAAATGGCGCTTAAACAATGTCAAAAAAAATACCCTCGTGCAGGGGTATTTTGGATATTAAAAAAAATAATAGGGATTGGTTCGTCCAATTTTTTTGGAGCCAATTTGAAGTCACTTTTTCAAAGAAATAATTTTTCCCCACTTTTTTACCAAATAACCATAAATACACAAAAAACCACTTAATGTGTGGTCTCATGTCTTAAAACAAGTACTTCTCTTAAGTGTTCTCAAACACTACTTAAGGCCCTGTTCGCTTTTCAATAAGTTATTTACCCAGGTAAATGTACTTACCAGGGTAAGTGTTTCCTAAGAAAGACTTATCCGGGTAAGTGCATTTACCCATGTTCTTTTATTTTTCATGTAAATAAAAAAATGACCATTTTAGCCATAAAAATCCATTATTAAAAGGAGCATTTTTGTCCCATTCAAGTGTTGACAGTTTTCCTCTCAGGTGGGAAAGTTATTTACCCACCTAGGAGATGGGTATCACTTACCCGGATAAGTGGTACCTAGGAAAATAAACTTTTCTTGGTCTCCACATAAATATGAAAAAAGAACATGGGATTCTTGATCAATGGAAAAACTTCCCCGTCTCAAAATCCAAAAAAAGAACACACCCTAAAAATAGAAGTAAAAAAGAAGAAATTCATCAGTGTTACTATGGAAATGTCAAATTAGTAAGGAACAAACACTTTGATACATCAGCACCTCAACCAAGAAAGGGTGATATAATGCCATGGGCCCTAAGAAAGGGTGATGTAAACACTTCTCACATGCCCCATCAATACCAACTAGGATCTTTTATTTTTTTCTTTTTTAAATAATCAATGTGATTGGCGCTTTTAAGTTGCTTCATCCCCATCCCTCAACACACGCGACCAAGGGAACATGTCCCAATGATAAATACAAGAAATATTTTCAATGCATGCTGAGATATGCATGTGGGGCGCTAGTGGGGGCCGTGGGGCATTGGTGTGATCTCAAATTAGTATGGCTTTAAGGAGAAATGAACCTAGATAAGGAGAGGTAAAATTAATACATATTTCCTCTAAGAACAACTAAAATTGGAAAATGTTAAAGTTGAACCATGAAAAGGAGTACCATCTATTTCCAACAAAAGTACTAATTTGCATTTAATTAAAGAGTAAATAAGTATGTAAGCATCATAAAGATTTCATTTATAGGGGATGCAAATGGATCGGATTGGATTTAAATTAGAGTATATTTGAATGCATTCAATACTGTTCATATGGGATCAGATATGATAGGATTTGATTTGATTTGAATTCGAATCTAATTGATAAGTCGAATCTTCAAATCTGATCCAATCCAGTTTGTTTTCTTTAAAAATTAATAAATTATTAAAAAATAAAGTATACTAATTTAAATAAAATAAAAACAAGAATATAAATATTTTTAATTATTTTCATCATATATACATATATACATGTATACATGTTTTTCATAAAAAAATAAATAATATAAGATGGCAGAGGAATTAAAACGAGAGAAAAAAGAAAAACCTTGAGAGCCAGGAGGGCTTCGTTCTGTCTCTGGAGGTCCCGAAGAACAGCGATTATATCCTGCTTGACCAACCGCCTGACCTTGGATTCCATCACGCTCTCCAATAAATCACCATCGTTCTTCGCACGCTTCAACGCTTGAACGGCCTGGATGGCTTCAGTGCTGATCCGACCTCTCTGCAGGGGTTTCCTGTTTTTGCTCCGGTCTCTCATGATGACAATCATAGAGCTCTTGGAGCTAGAATATCGAAGGAACGGAGGGTGAGCTAAGGTTTTCAAAATCGTAAGAGTAGCATTGAAAGATTTCTGGCTGGATTTAGGTTTGAGCACAGTAGAAAGAAAAGGAATTCGCACTGCAGACGCATACATAGCTTGTATTGACATTGTCCCTCTCGCTCTTTGGCTGTGAATTCCGGAGCCCCACCCCTCCAAAGTCCAAACTAAACGACCTGGTGGACGAAGGAATCTGTATTGAGAAAGCTGCCAGCGCCGTAGATTAATAACTCAAATAACGAAACCCACCTTGTCTGTTGATCTTCTTGCCAGTCAGAGAAAAACGAAAACCACCTTTTTTTTATCCGACTACGGTCATTGACAGCATTCCAACCCTTAATAAGGTTATACCAAATTAATTTAGTCAGATGATCGAGTATTCGATTTGGGTGGTCTGAGGAAGAATTCCATCATTAAACGCATATATTCTGTACATACGCATCAAGCCGCTGCTTAACCAGCATTTATTCCTTCTATACGCCAATGAAGAACAAAAAACGAGGAAGTAGTAGAACGAAAAGAAAGGAAATTTTGTCGCTACCAAGAACGACTAAGGTTTCAGGTTGCTAGAAGTAAGTTACTATATCAGAGTAGGGAGAGGGTAATCATGGACGACGGGTGGTTTCTATGTTGCAGAGTTAAAACGGGGAGGAAGTAAAGCTTGAAAACTAGGGTTTCACTCCGAAGGATCAACGGAGAACGAGAGAGAGAAGAGAGAGAGAGGGCGGACAGGGATTTACACAAAACCAGGATAAGTTTACGGGAAAGTGAAATGACCATTTTGCCTATGTGCTTTTCAGGTTTTTTCCATGCATGTCAACTCTAACTCAGCTTGGCGGAACGGATGATTGTACTTGTTATACTTGTTTTAACAATTACTTAATGTTATTTGGTAATCCATTTTTCAAATTATTTATTATGTTTTTAAGTACTTATTGGAGTGGGGATTTTGGTAAGTTACTTTTCTCAAAAGTGTTTATATTGACACAAATGACAATTTTATCTCTCACTTCATAACCTTATCTTTTGGTTCTTGTTCTGATGCATCTAACAAGTGTTTCTACTTCTTTCTTACTAGTAGAATTGTGATTAGAGCTCTTTACAAGAGCTTCTTCAGCATCCAGCAATCGTTCGCCTCTTCACCTCCATTTGAGTAAAACACCGGCCTGAGATGAAACATCTTCTCTCTATGTTTAAGTAGTGTTTGAAAAGGAAGCAAAATTTCAACGTTCCTGTAGGTTCGAACATAAAGGCTAAAACATCTACTAATGAATCAAGAATAGATGGAATTCCATCAAATTCTTCTTCCTTTTCACCATTGTTTCTGTTGTACGATCAGAAACACATGAAAGAAAAGAAAAAAAAATCCATAACCCAAGAACAAAATAAACCCGCATTCCCCCATAGTGAAAGGACCCATCTCTCTGATGTACCGTAACTGTTCTTTCAATTAACACTTCCATTCCTAGACCAAATCTACCAAAGCCCATCAACCCTAACTACAGATTGGGGGGAGAGAGCACAAAAAATTCTAAGTTCACCAAGTAAAAATGAACCCCTTTTTTGTCTTCCTTTTTCAAATGTAATACTGCATTGTAAACCAAATCAACGTAACCCTAGAACTCTAACCACAAAACAAAATGTCGATAATAGAAAAGCAATTAAAAAACTCCAAAATCAAATACCCACATCTGTAACTCAAGCAAATCAATATAAATATATTAAGCTGAAATGTGTACGTAAGAAGGCTTAGGATGAGGGAAATGGAATCTAATAGTATCTTTTGCCTTTTTTTCTTTCAAATTATAAGAATGCCACTCTCTTTCCTACTAATTCCTTATCTCTTTTTCTTACAAATTACAAGAATGCCATCTCTCTCTCTCTATAAATTACAAGAATGCCACTCTCTCTCCAACTAAGGGAGACCTCAACCCAGCATCTTGGCTGTTAGGGGACCTACAACCAAAGGTAGTTGAGTTTGAGTCGAGCCGAGCTCGAACTTTTGAGCTCAAGCTCAAGTCTCTAATTTGAATCGAACTCAAGCTAGACGACACCTCGACCATTGAGGGAGACCTCGGCTCAGCACCTCGGTCACTGAGGGATATATCAGCTCAACACTTTGACAACTACGGGAGACCTCAGCTCGACACCTTGTCAACTAAGGGGGACCTTAGCTCGATACCTCGCCTGCTAAGGAAACCTCAGCTCAACACTTCAACAACTGAGGGAGACCTCGATTTGGCACCTTGGCAATAGAGGGAGACCCCGGCTGCTTGAGAGACCTGCAATCAAAAGTAGCTAAGATTTTGACTCAAGCTGAGCTTAAGTCTCTAATTTGAACTGATTTGGAGCTTGATAGTTTATGAGCGAGCCCCTACAACATAGGGCCCCCTCCACTAGTCTATAGTTAATAGAAAAGGGAAAGAAGAGAGAGTAGTTACCTTTTTCTTCGGCATCACTGTCCTTGCGCTTCAATATCTTCCTCACATCTTTCTTTATAAAAAGGCTAAACATTTTTTCGGCTACATAGCATATCTCTCTCCCCGAATTGCTCCAACACTTTAGACCCAACAATCTTACGAAACAAAAGAAGAGAAAGTAGCAATTGAAAGGGATGAGAATAGCACTCAAAACTCAAAGAATGTGTTTCAAGACAGGGTGCCATGTGTTGTCGTAGCCCACTTGCCAAACGACAGGTTTGCTGGCCACTGTTCTTCACCTCCAATTGTCACCGGTGGACCTGCAACTGATGCGTCACTACTTGGATTTGAGGTTCGAATGAATGGAGGAGGTATAACTCTCACAGAGATAATTTTAAGTATTTAAAAAAATTATCGAGGAATGGTTCATCCCATTATTTTTTTTAAGTACTTAAAAAAAGCCAAATTGAGGTCACTACTTCTTAAAAAAAAGGTACTATTCCTCACTTTTTTATCAACTACTATTAAAAGAAACTTTTTTATCAGGTACTATTCTCTAGCCCCAAAGTACAGATTTTTTTTAAGTGTTCTCAAGTCTCAACCACTACCGTAGCCGAAGTACGTTCCGTGGATAAACTCAGTCTCTCAGTTCAGTCTCGACCCGTCTGAGCTCTTCGGGGAAAAAAAAGGAAAGAAAAAAGATGGATGTAATTCATAGAAATTCCTCCGTGTTTGCTCGCCTTCATTCACTGATTTTCCTTCTCTTGTTCTTCTTAAAGCCCTTAATCGTTGTTTCAGCTGCAGACGACCCAACGGGGGCGATCACCAGATTCCAGAAATACCTGCAAATCAACACAGCCCATCCGAACCCTGATTACTCCGCAGCTGCAAATTTCATCCTCTCCCAGGCTAAAGCCCTAGCCCTGGAATATCAAACCTTAGAGTTCATCAAAGGGAAGCCTGTGATACTCCTCAAATGGCCTGGTAAAAACCCGGACCTTCCTTCAATTCTCCTGAACTCACACACCGACGTCGTTCCCGCCGAACTTCAGAAATGGAATCACCCTCCTTTCGACGCCCACCTCGATCAGGCTGGCAATATTTACGCCAGAGGATCGCAGGACATGAAATGTGTTGGCATGCAGTACCTCGAGGCCATCCGCCGATTGAAGGATTCTGGATTCCATCCGGTGAGGACCGTTTACTTATCTTTTGTCCCCGATGAGGAAATCGGAGGTCATGATGGCGCCGAGAAATTTGCGGAGTCCGAGATATTCCGTGAAATGAATGTTGGAATCGTCCTTGATGAAGGTAACTTCAGTAGTATTTTCATCATTAATTAACATCACCGGTGATAATTTAATCGAATCTGATTAAACAGTTTTTTATTTTTGACCTAAAAAGGCTTTAGTGGAATAAGTTTTGCTTCTGTGTTCTTACATACTTTTGCGGTTTGACACCATTTGTTTTGATTGTTACAGGATTAGCCTCAACGAATGAGAATTACAGGGTTTTCTATGCAGAAAGGTGTCCATGGTGGCTTGTTATTAAGGCAACTGGGGCTCCTGCTCATGGTTCAAAGCTTTACGACAATAGTGCGATGGAGAACCTGTTGAAGAGCATCGAGAGTGTGATGAAGTTCCGGGCTGCACAATTCGATATGGTGAAGACAGGTTTGAAGGCTGAGGGCGATGTCATTTCTGCAAACATGGTCTTCTTGAAAGCTGGCACGCCTACTCCAACTGTAAGCTTTTGAACAAAGGACAACGGATGTATTGATGCTTTGGTATTGTTTTAGTTTTACTTGAATTGGATTTTCAATAGTTTTAGGTTGAATTTGTAGAGCTTAATAAGTTCGTCCACCTTCTCCAAGATGGGCTCACAAATCCATTTGGGAGCCCATCTTGGAGAAGGTGGACAGAAAATTAGCATTGTGGAAGACCAAATACTTGTCCAAAGGGGGCAAAGTCACTTTAATTAAAAGTGTGCTCTCCTCCTTTCTTGTGTTTTATCTATCTCTATTCCCAATTCTAGCTAAATGGGCTGCAGTGTTGGAAAAAAAGATGAGTGGCTTTTTGTGGAGGGGATGGAAGGAGGAATCAAAATGCCACTTGGTAAACTGGAAGAAAATTTGCTTCTCTAAAGCTAATGGGGGTCTAGGGATCAGATCAGTGAAAGATGTAAATACTGCATTGCTTGGAAAATGATTATGGAAATTTAATGAGCAGTCAGATAGCCTGTGGAGATGGTTAGTTGTAGCCAATTACGGGTCTAGTAGCAGGGAGTGGGAAACAGAAGAGGTCAAATTAATCTATGGATGTTCAAATTGGAAGGCAGTTCAGGAAATACAACCTCAATTTTTGAAGGGCATAGAATATAAAGTGGGAAAGGGCCGGAGGGTTCTCTTTTGGAAGGATCACTCGTGTGAAGGTCCTTTGATGTCCATATTTCCTGTTTGAAATAGCTACAAATAAGAATGCAACTGTAGCTGAATATTTGGATAGACAGAGTGGATATTGCTTGTGGAACCCCCAATTCAGGAGGAACTTAAACAATTGGGAGGTCACTTCTCTAATCAGCTTGCTCCAGATTCTATATGACTCAGAGACAACTGGTTTAGGGGAAGACAAAATAAATTGGATGTTTGAGAAATCAGGTAGTTTTTCTGTAAAATCTTTTTTCAATTATGCATCAAGGGAGGATAACACTTCTTTTCCAAGTGACAAGATATGGATCAAAGCTGGCTTCTTTATATGGTCAGCAGTGCTGGAGAAGATCCTAACCGAAGAGAATCTAGTCAGAAGAGGCTTAGAGATGGCGGATTTGGCTTGTACTTTAGCCATTTGTTGATTAACTGTGAGTATACTCACTGGATCTGGTTAAGACTGTTAGGTCTGTTTGGTGTTAAGCTGTGTTTCTCAGCCGATGTGAAGGGATTCATAAAGGCATGGTGCCTAGAAGGATTAAGTAGGGCCGGAAAGGTGGCATGGAACATACTCCCCTCAGCAGTTTTCTGGGCTGTGTGGTGTGAAAGAAACAGGAGAATGTTTGAAGGAAATCACACTTCAAAGGAAGCAATCTTAAGCAAAATTCTGGGGATGGCTCATTCATGGTTGGCAGTTCACCTTTTATTTAGAAATGGACATTATAGTTCTTTTTTTTTTTATTTTGATTTCCTTTTTGTCAGGAATAGATAGTTATTGTTTTGGGCATTGGGCTGTAATGGGCAGAATTGTATATCCTCTGTTCAGTTTCTCATTGTACAGGGGCTTCATTGTATTTTTTTCATTTTGATTTTGATGAAATACTTTACCTTACAGTTTAAAAAAAAATAATAAATAAATAAATAAAAGACAAAACAATAAGTCACTCAGTTCATTAACATCAGCCGTTATCAAACAGCACCTTGGTCTCACATTCCATCCCCCTCAATTCTCTCATTATTTCTTGGAAAATTCCATTTGACCTTCTCCTGTCCTTTTAAAACATTTAATTTGCACCAAGTCACTCACTTATCATTATTGGTAGCTTCATTGTTTGTAGTTGACTCTTTTATTTCCAGTTGGTACCTTCGGTAAGTTCTGTGCATACTGCATTGATTTATTTCTAATTTTACTCCACATTCCTCATAGTCATGTCAAATATTTCTATTTGTCTATTTCATCATCCTTTTCTTCTTGCTGTGATTTATATTTTTATTTGTGATGGTACATCGTTGATCAGGTATCTTATGACACATAGATTAAATAGTCATTGCAAAAAGTTGGAGCTAGGTTGACAACATCTACAGCTATTTCAATGGCCTTATGTTTCTTGTATTCTTCTTCCATCAGGGTTTTGTCATGAATCTCCAGCCATCTGAAGCAGAAGCAGGTTTTGACATTAGGTTACCACCAACTGCTGATCAGCCATCTCTGGAAAGACGGATTGCTGAGGAATGGGCTCCTTCTTCGCGCAATATGACTTTTGAGGTACTCAGGCACTAATAAAATCTTCACATGTTTCCGATTGCAATTTAGTAGTTGAAGATAAACAACTGTTTTAGTTCAATCCTTCTTATGATAGTTGATGACATAATGATGCTTTTACCATTTTCTATGTGAAAGAGTTTTAACCCCCTTCCCCCAAACCAAAATAAAAAAAAAGAAGGAAAGTCCTTAATATTATGAGTTTCTTCTTAACTCTGTTTTGAAGCTAGGTGAAAATGGAAGCCATCTATGCTGTTAAATGATAGGAAGTCTGTTACTGCTAATATCCATAATACAAGTTACCATTCAAAAGGAAAGTCCATTATATAAGAAAATAAAATTAGGTACTTACCTATCAAAACAAAAAAAAAAAAGAAAAAGAAAATTAGTACTTATAATCAGAAAACCATAGGATTCCTCAAGCTTGGAGGATGTCCAGAACTGTGGTGTTGTATTGCCACTTAAAGTCCATGTAAGCGCCATGTTAGAGTTTTGACTTCATATTACCAAAATCATTTTTGGTTGGGCAGGTTTCACGTTTAAGTTCAAATGTTTGTACTATCCTTTACATAAGGTTATGTGCATGGGCTTGTTGGGAGAAACATCCTTTTAGCATTTCCCCAACAGGGTGGCATTTCCACTTTGGTTGTCTTATGTGGCATCTAGTGGCACTTATATGTTTTAGACTACAATAAACAAATGTGCATTGTATTATGTGCCAAAATACCTTACTTTCCCAATTCCAATGCTATTATTCGGGTACAAACATTAAGACTTACAACACCAAGCAAAGGTACCAAACACCCTGTCAGTAAGCAGAACCATGTCAGCAGGGCATCATATCTGTTCTAAACCATGCTTTATGGGATTAAAGTTGGAATTCATTCTGAACTTGTGCCTAAAATTCTTGAAACATGTTTATTCTCTTAAGGACAGGGCTTGAACAAAAAGATGATTCTCATGGAGAAAATAAAGCAGGTGTGAGGGATTAATATAGTGAGGTTGCTGTTTAGTGCTTTATATTATAACCAATTTTGGGTTCAACCATTCATTCCATGAAAAAAATTCATTTATGTTTGATATTCCGAATATTAGGAACTTCTCTAGTTTGGCACTGCAATGTTACTGTTCCCAATTGTGGCAATATGCTGGAGCTATTAAGCCAATTTCCACCTCAGATCTCTCCTAGACTGAACACCATTAGATGTCTGTACAATCTAACCTTATATTTTTTGCATCTTTTTGACATTTAACATGAAAGGAGAAGTGGATTTAAAAAAGGGTAAACTATTTATTCCCCCTGGGGGTTGTTCAAATACTAAGACCCCCGCTGAAGTTTACTTATTACCCCCATTGACTGTGGGGGTTTGTGAATTAAAACAGACAGAACCAAGACAGAATCACAGAAATAGGTATTTTACCAAAATATCCTTAACAATAAAATATTGGCTTTGCCTCCAATACATACATATATATATATATATATATACACACACACACACACACACACACTAGTAAACATGTACGTGCATTTGCACGTGACAGTATCTCTAATACAATTCATGGACAGTTTTTAAACAGTTATAAGTGGGCAGTTTTTGGAGTGAGAGTAAAGGACATATATGCCCTTTTTTATGCCTGTTGTATGTTGCTTAGATAAGGGGTAAAAATGTCTAATGAAAATTCCAGAAAATGGGGCTATTCGCTCTTTATATATATATATATATATATATATATATATAGATAACCATTTCAATTTTTTTTGGGTAAAATGGACGTCTGAAAAGTTTTAAATGTCATGTTAACACTTCTGTCACCAAAACTGACACATCTTAGTAGAGAGGTGGAATAAGTAACTTACCCTCAAAATACAAGGGGTGAAATCTTAGTATTTGACCAAAATCCAAGGGGATCATAAGCAATTTACCCCTAAGAAATCAGTAGAAGTGGTGCTTCGATTTCATGGATATTGTTGTTATGTTGTAATCATATGACCAAGTGTCAATACATGTAGAATTTGAATTAGTAGATGTCTTATCAGTGGCTGTAATTTGGTCAGTTTAAACAGAAGGTTTCTGTGAACAAGCATGGGAAGCCAATCCTCACTGCTACTGACAGTTCTAACCCATGGTGGGCATTGCTAGAAGAGGCTGTAAAGAAAGCCAGTGGAAAACTCGGTAAGCCAGAGATATTTCCTGCCTCAACAGATGCTCGACACTTCCGTACACGTGGATTGCCTGCAATTGGCTTCTCTCCCATGGCAAACACGCCAATTCTCCTTCATGATCACAATGAGGTTAGTATCTACTTGGTTCTATGTTCTATAACTATACATGCCTTGGGTGTAAGCAGTGGTTTTCTTAAGCCTTTGGGGGTTTATTGGGGCTACTAACATACTTGTGGTGATATCTTATCACCCTATATTGTACTTATGCCCTTTTTTTGTTTTAATGGAAAATTCTCTTTATTCTTTACCAGAAAA